CGCCCACTCCCCTTGCTCCCTTTGCCTCCCTTGCTTCTGGGCGTCTCTTAACTGCCTCCCTGCATTACCCATACATTCATCCCGCCCTCCCCACCCTTTCGACCCGCTCTCTCAGCCCCATCTCCCGCTCGTTTCCCTCAGCTTCCCTTCCATCTTTCAACCGCTTCTACCCACTCCTCCCCTCCGCGCCATCACGCCTCATCACTCCTGAATTGGTTTGCCTTGGGCTTCTTTCTAGGAGCAACATTAAGAGGAGCGCCACGAGGAAGCGCGGGACGCAGAGGAGGCAACGGAACACGGGCGAGGAGACACCGAAGGATCTTCGTTCACAGCGATCCTCGCGGAGAAGGGACAGCCGTCGGACACAACGTTGCAGCCAGCAATGGTACGATAGCATGTTCATCTGTGAGCTGCGCCATCAATATACCGCGCAAGCAGATATTATCTTAGTATCTATCTGATATATCTTCTATGTTCTCTACTCTCTCTCTCTCTCTTTTCTATAAGATATATATATATATTATTAATTATTATTGGTTTATATGACAAAATATCGTAGCGATATAAAATAGATGATTTTGTAATCGATTTTGTACTTGTAATTTGATCCGGTTGGCCGTATTGTGTGGTGCTGGTGTGTGGTGCGTGTGTGTGCGTGCGCGCGTCGCGTGCGTGCTGTATGTGTGTGTGGTGTGAGTGACGTGCGTGTGGTCGGCGTTGCGCTGCGTGCGTTGTCTGGTGTGGCGTTACGTGAGTGTGTTAGTGTGCCATGTGTTGTGCTGTGCGTAGGCGTGCGTCAGCTGCGTGGTGTCTGCATGTATGTGCTTGTCTGTATGTTTGAGGGAGTATGTGTTGTGCCTATATATATCGAGCCGAACGTGTAGCAGCATGGGATGCAAGACGCAAAGGTTCAGATAATTGCGTGTCCTTAATTGCAAGTGGCTATTCGCTTTTGGTAGTCTCAAAGGTGCTCGGTGAAGTGAAGTGCTATTAGAACCTAAAAATACAACTCATGAGATATAAATATGAAGCACTCAATTACTCACGCCTACGTCTATAGTTTCCGACGCGGTTTTTATTGAAAAGTTGGATTCATTATATTGAGATCTTTTTAAATCCCAACGAAGGGTTTTTATTAATCAAGCTGCCAAACGAGTTGCGAAAAATCTATTTAAATTTAATTTCAGAAGAGGTCCTCGACGTTTCTCTGAATGTATTTCTAAGAGCTCATTGGACAACGAAATTAAGCTAAAATGGACCAAAAATATTTCAACCAGCCGAAGCTTTCTGGGTTGTCACGCATTACAAACCTATATATATATATATATATATATATATATATATATATATATAATATATATAATTATATAACTATATTCAGAAGTAGATAATGAGGCGAGGGAGTGTACTTCGATAAACAAGGGAAAATCGTCATTTACTGGCCGTTTGAATGCCTACGATTTACTACGGTAAGTCAACAAACTTGAGCTCAAATCGTCACACCAGTACATTCGCTAGCAGTCGTGCGAATCGTTTCGTCGTATACATCACAATTCGGAGGATACAGACTAAAAACGTACGACACGATTATCCATTCTTGCTTGCAGCAAACGAATGTATAAACGCCCTAACTTGAAGAAAAAAGGCAGCTACCAGCGAAGCCACACCGCAGTCCGCCGAGGAAGCAAGAGTGACAAGATGGATCGCTAGTAGCTGCATTTTGTTTCAGTCAGGCGGTTTATAGCATTCGCTTGTGCTGGCAATCAGATGGAATATCGTGTCGTACGTTTTAGTCTGTGCATCTCCAGATGTGGTGTATACCGAGGCAATTCGATTTTGTACGATTGCTTAGGCGAATCGTACTGTGTACGATTGAGCTTCACGTTGGTTGAGTTACGGTAGGAAATCGTAAGTATTCTAAGGCCTAGAGTAATGACAAATTCCCTGGTTTATTGCAAGTCACACTTCCTTCCCTATTATCTACTCTTTCTGACTATATATATATATATATATATATATATAAACATGTTTATTTATGTCATTCTAGCATAACACGCGCGATAATCGTTATACACAAACACGTACGCGCCAGCGCATACACGCGTGCACGCAGCGTGTACCGACAACGCAACGCACACACGATTATATATATATATATATATATATATGATATATATATAGATATGATATATGACGTAAAGATCAGTAGCCGCCATTAAAATGCTGATGCAGCCAAACGTTAATTACTCTAATTATAAAATTCGTAGAAAGAACGCATATTAGTGAAGATTAATATTAAGATTCATTCATTCGGTATTATAATTGTATAGGTTCGCCTTTGCTCTGGCCTGAGCGCAGGTGCCAGCAGATTTACACACTTTGGACTGCCTTGTTTATGCACTGATCGTATAATAATTTATTCAGTTGTCTGAAAAAAAATATTCGCCATTCTAATGCCGAAGAATAAGGCGAATCGGAAATCGTAGCTGGTGTATATGCATACCGACATGTGCGGCGACTGGCCGCGTGTTGCGGTACTTACGCTTGTTTCGCAGTAGCAGAGCGCAAAGGGGCCTTATCTACAGAACAAAGCGCGACATTTGCGCACGAAGTTATACTTGCAGTTGTGTTGTGAATAAACCTATTTATCAGCTTAAAATAATAATGGACACTTATTGTATGATGCGAGCTCAGTTTAAAGTGCAGTGAAGTCATGCACCGATCGCCAATCGGTGTGCGGAAGCAACCAGATTATGATGGCGAAGCAGTAGACATGCCTGCGCTATTGTCTTGGCCGCCAGGTATAATGGGGGCCATTGTTATTCATCATTACGAATGCGCAGTCTATTATGTGCTTCGTTCATATTTCATAAGTCTTTCTCTCGCATAACATTCATGAGCATTATCTCGAACGGTGCAGAAATGCATAGGATATATCATTTCTGCACCGTCAGACTATATGCTTATTGAATCGTTATACTTACTATATATATACACTATAATATATATATGATATAGCGTGGGTTATAGGTTTAGGCGTTTGGGTGTTTGTGTGTCGACGTGCGCGTGCTTTGCGTGTGTGTTGTGTGGTATGCGTGTGTCCGCACATGTTTAGTAGATAATTTGATTTATTATAAGTCGGTTATCAACAAGCCCACGTCGTACCGATTGCATGTAAAGATGATGATCTTTAACAAAAAATGCTGTATGAGCAGTTTTTTGCCGATCGTTCAAAACGTTCCGTTTGCTTAAACGAACGTTCACAAAAGGAGACGTACGATCGAGATGTGACATGCATGGATGCTGACGTGTATAGACAGTAACGCAAATGCATCGATCTACGCCTGAGAGATCGGTACTGGTTAGACACGCGAGAGGGCGCGAGAAAGGAAAAATTAAAAGACGATACGATTAATCGATGACCACGTAGTCGATTACAGGGCCGTGGCGCGATGCGTACGTGTGATTTCACTACTTGAGCCTGATTCACGAATTAGCGAACCACGGACGTATGGGACGCATATCTATTGACATTTTTCGCTATAGCGGTTTCAGACCTTTGTACAATAAAACGAGGCCCGTTTTCTGTATCGCACAACTGGTTACTTTACGATGTTTCGTGAAAGCCCACATACAAGTATACACACACACATACACGCACGCACGCAACGCCACGCACACACACTCACGCAGGAACGCACGCACGCACGCACACACCACACACACACACACACACACACACACACACACACACACACATGATATATATATATATACATAATTATAATATACATATATATGAGTGAGCATAAAATTGTGTAGACAATGGGCTTGTTTGTTCGTGTATATACGACTGAATGCTAGATACGTCCTTACGCGACCTCGACTCAATTAAAATTTATCTCTTTCAGGAGTTGAGACGCATACAGACTGTAAAATTTAATTCTTTTCGTAACGAGGAAATGTATGCATGCGCGCTGTAGCTATAATTGAGCGCGAGAGTATGTCTTTGCCGATGGTGCATTTTAGTTCCAACTATATAACGATGTTAATGATGCACGCTGGATGATTAATTGCGTTTAATTAATGGTCTTCTGCCCAACTGGTGCACTCAAAGTACAGTTAGATACAGCTTCAGTTGACAGCGCCTAATAATTCCTCGTGCGACCGAGTGACATGTATCGATTCGATTTCATAATTTAGCTGGTCCGTAAGTTTTAACCCATTCCGGGCCAATTTTTATCGATAAAGAAGCTACGAATGCGTGTGTGTACGTGTCGTGTAGTGCAGAGTGAGAGTAGTGAGTGAGAGTGAGAGTGAGGGAGTGATGCAGTTAGGTGAGTGTGAGTGACTGAATGTGAGTGAGTGAGTGACGTTGAGTGGAGTGACGTGACGTGAGTGAGGGTGAGTGAGTGAGTGAGTGAGTGAGTGAGTGAGTGACGTGAGTGAGTGAGTGACGGTGATGAGTGGAGTGAGTGAGTGAGACTGTGAGTGAGTGAGTGAGCGAGCGGAGCGAGTGAGTGTTGCGTGCGCTGCTGTGCGGCGTGCGTGCGCGTGCGTGCGTGCGTGCGTACGTGCTGCGTGCGTGTGATGTGTGTGTGTTGTGTGAGCGCGCGCGCATGTGTGGTGTGTGTGTGTATGTGTGTGTGTGTGGGGGGGTTCTTAAAAGTGTCTTTTTTATTTTGTTATTGAGTATATAATCAATATTGACTACCGTACGGGCAGGCAAATAAACGACCGCGCGTGCATATCGTGTTGTAATTTTAACTGTTGATTTGTTTTGTCTCTTTGTTTGCTTGTTTGTTTGTTGATTGGTTGGCATTGCACGTTTTTGATAGGTATGTTTTTATTAGTAGGTTGATTGGTGTCTCGAATGTTTTGTGTTGGTTACTATTTTTATATTTCTCTGAGCACATCTTTGTAGCAAAATTTGGCAATGCGAAAATCTCGAAAAAGGTGTTGACGAATTTTGTCTATATGTTGCATTAATAATTTTCCAGGGCACCACGTGATAAACGGGCTGGCATCACTGATGAATGGAAAGGAAGATAGTGATGATAGTGATGAAGAGAGAGATACAGGTATTTTTCCATATGAATTATGTAAAGGAACCGTGTACCTATTTTGCCATCTAATGGAAATTGGACGTATTTAAACAAAGGATTTGTCACCGAAAAATCATCGTAAAATTTATATTAAAGACATGAATATGTTAATGAATATTTTATGAATATTAATGATTTTATCGACTTTTGCCGCCGTTAACTCTCTATCTCTCACTACGCATCTCGATTAGCATAAAAAATTTCGAAAATTAAAATCAGAGTAGCAACAATATGCAAGCTCCTTAACTTTGTTTCGCCTAGCTTATTAATAATGACAGGATTTTTTATCGGTGCGCCGTGCGGCCTGCGTTGGCTATAGTTACCCTGGCAGCTGGCGTCTCAAATTCCACTCGTCGCTTCGTCACGATCGGCAGGCAGTTCACTGTCGAGTAAAGCCCGCTGAAACAAACGCTCTCCGACAGGCACGCGCAGCCTCGTCTCACTCACTGCGAAATTCAACCGAGTGAATCTCTTCTCGCGTGTTTCTGTTTATACGATTCGTAGTATTTTAGCTATACTAGTGTAGCGTCGTATAATCTTTTGATAGTTTTGTACAATAGATAGTGCGGGGGTTCTATGTTTGCGCATGCGTGAACGGTGGTTCGAACGCATAAAAAAATATTTTACGCCTGTTGCTATATCGCCGATAGAACGCGTTTACGATTTATTTTCATATATTCTCTGGTTAATGTGTAGTAGAGAATTTAATACGTGCTCATGTGCAATGGCGTGCAGAGTCGCATGTGACGCGCTGTAGCCCGCAGGAGCAATATGGCGGACATTTGTTCCGACGTGAGGGAATGCGTACACGCGCATCACACGTGCGATCGCTGCCTCTGTAATGATTTAAAGCGCGATATACTGGCGAAGCAATCACGGGAATCGTTGGCGCCCTTATACTGGACTCGGTGCAGCCGCTCGCGCCGCGTGAGCACGCAATCAGAATGCTCATTGTTCGCGTCATGAAACATAGATGAAATGCGTAGTGTTCGCATAGCACGGCACAGCAAATGTCGACGCGAGCGACCATTGTCGCCGCGTGTAAATGAATGGAGTTGATTCGTAACGGTTTAGTTTCGCGCTGAAGAGATTCCGTTGGCAACCCGCGTGAGAATGAGACGCGGTTCGCAGTCGTGATGGCCATCGCCTGCACACAAACATGGCTGCCCATACACACAAACATGGCCGCCACCTGCACACAAACATGACCGCTCATACACACAAACATGGCCGCCCATGCACGCCAGCGCCATCTGTGTGCAGCGGCCGTGGCGACGATTACCGTTGAATTGAATAGCAGGAATCGGGAGGAGGAACAGCCTGAGGGTACGTTACAAGATCTAGAGGTTTCGCTCTGGCAACACTCGTTCCGTTTCCAGACCATCCTTCCTTTTCCTGGATAATCACATCCTCCCCGAGCATCCAGGACCGGGATAATTTCACACCTGGCCACATCCGGACTCTCTCGCACTACACGCGTGTGACTTGTAGTGTGAGAAATCGTGTCGCCATCGAGGAAACACCGTCGTCATCAAATCAGGTAGAATTCAACAAAAATCTTTTTTTCATATCGTTGCAGATCTGAGCGAAGCTGCTGACGTCACCAGCTCCGGCAACGCGGCCGAGGATAAGCACCACGCCAGCCTCGCCTACGTGTCGGGCCCCGAGACCCACGGCATATCTTCCACGGAGACGCTGCTGATGAACATTCAAGGTCTGCTGAAGGTCGCCGCCGACAACGCGCGCCAGCAAGAGAGACAGGTCAACTACGAGAGAGGTACCACACCACACACAACACACACAACACACACACACACGCACACGCCACACATCACACACTCACTCACTCACACACGACCCACACCACACAACACACACCACACACACCACGGCACACACGCCACAACGCACTCACACACACACACACACACACACACACAACACGCACGCACGCACGCACGCACGCACGCACGCACGCACGCACGCACGCACACACACACCCATGATAATATATATATCTATATGCGCGGTAATAGAGTTTGTAGAATTTCATTAAAAAATCATCCAAGCGCACTGGTATGCATTTCTCATATACATATGCATTTTTTATATTCATAGTGCACGTATGCGCTTTTCTTCAAGAATTGCACGCTTGACATAGCTATATATCATGCGCATTTTAGACGTTTTCTTATTGCCTGCCGCAATTTATCATTTCGCGTTCATGTTCTTGTCACTGCGTCCCGGTGAATTCCAGCGCCAAATAAAAACAGTTGTCGCGGTCTTTAAGTCACAGCAGAGCCTACTAGTCACGCGCAAGTGCGCATGCGCACAAATCCCACAGCAGGGAGGGGGAATTTGGCGACCCGTGACGCATGTGTTTCTGTTGCAGCCGAACTTAAGATGGAGTTGCTGAGAGAGAGGGAGCTGAGAGACAACCTGGAGAAACAGCTCGTGGAGGAGCAGAAGATGAGAAGTAAGGACTGCCTCTCCTCTTCGCATCGTTCCCTCACACGCTCACAGATAATTACAGATAATAAGAGTAGATTCTTGTTCTATAGCCTAGACGCTGCTGTGAATTACAGTGTGTGATGAACCTGTGCTAATGCTCGACTGCTTTGTGTAGACTACTTGTCAGCTACCTATATATTAGTCTGCAGCATGGATAGTAAAGAGATCATTCTCACAGGAGGTCTGGGAAAGTGGGAAACATAGCATACCCATTGTATAATTGGTCTGTTACGATGAAATGATAGTATTATAGCTATGGAATATTTTTTATGTATGATAGGTACACTGAGGATATATAAATTACATTAAATTCCTGTCGAACCGGCAACCTTGTAGGCCTACGCCGACGTCACACGTGTACTAAATACGAAACAATACATTAAGTTTCACACAGATCTCAATTGTGACGCACAGAGTGGTTGCTGGGTTACTTGCAGTATTCAGTATGTTACATGAAGCGGTCAATGTATTTCAAACAGTGGTATATGCAGTGGTACATAGGTTGAATACAGTGATCGATGAGTTTCGTGTAGTCGTAGGTTTATGCTGCGTTCATACGACCGTCATTTCATTGTGTTTAGTCCTGATTGGGTTTCATAGTGAGCTATAAATGTGGGCGCATTGAAATTTCGTAGCAACGCACGCAGCGACTAATAATAGCTTTGCCAGAACATCGCTTCTTGTGGCTATACTATCAGGATAACGTGATACATAGACATACAAAGATACACACACACGCGCGCGCACCCGCACACTTACACTTACACCCACACGCGCGGACGCACGCACACACATACGCGCACACACGCGCACACACACACACACACACACACACACACACACACACACACACACACACACACACACACACACGCGTGCGTACACCCACCCGCTCA